ACTCAAAAAAATAATTCTGCCATTTTTAAGCCTTTGCTTGACCCTCCTCAGCCTAGCCTCATGACCCTCTTTGCCTTTAGAAATGGAATATCCTAAGCTTCTAAAACCCTTTGTTTTTCCCCACCTTATCACTGTACTGAAAGCTGCATATGTTGTGGTAGATGAAGAAGCAGAGTGCTGTGGAGGGGAGGAGATCCAGAAATTGAGGAATCAGGAGGAGTGAGGGCATTTTGTTGCTAACTTTCTCATTGAGAAGCTGCTTCCAATGAGCTCTCTTGTACAGAGTTATGTGTTTACTCGTGCGTCTGGTAAACAAATGGCTGGTACTTTTACTGTGGCTAATACGCAGCACGAGTAAACATTTGTGCAAAACACAACAGTTCTTTACCATCTGCCTGTTTTTAAAAAACGGCAATTTCCCGCTCGCGCGCGCCAAGGGGGTGTGTCTGAGCGGACGTCTAAAGACGCCCGCTCAGATCTAGAGAGCTCCAGGCCGGCCGTTTTTCTACTACGGCCGGCCCGGAGGCAGTTAAAATATAATTTAAATTCTTCAGTGTCTTTCACAAATGTGCTTATCTGCCAACTGAAATAAAGCCAACATGGCATTGTTCTTGGAAACCATTTAGATAAATACTAAAACCAACCAGTTCAGATTAGTATGCTTAAAACAGGTTCCAATTATCTGACCGGCAGTGGACACTATTCTTCCACTGTAGTAGATTTTTAATTTTGTTTACTGAAAATGAAAATGTATATAAGTACACTTGTACAGTGATGCATGGGGGGTCTCAGCTGCCATTGTGATGTGCGGGGTCCCTTGTGCATCCCTGTGCCTTTAAGGGAGGTTGGGCTTCCTCCTGACAAACCTACACCCAATTTTATCTTTTGCTACATGTGCTCCAAGATGGAGACTCTCATAGTTTAGAGTTAGGACCGCACTATAAGAGGTGCCATGGCCAGGTGGTGCGGCTTTCACATTTTCTGCAGAAGACGTGTATCTAAACCTCTGTTTTTAACCTTAGCGGTGAGACAAGTTTTTTTCCATGCTGGCTGGTGAGTGTGCTGGGAAACTGTATAGAGCCCTTCAATGTGCACCTTGCTGTAAAGCTGGTGACAAATTGATGAGTGCGTTTGTCATTTGTTTTGCTTGAACATAAAATCAGGGGACAGTGGCTCTATATTAGAAGATTATCAAGATGAAGAACTACTTCTATTTTTATACTACCCGTATTGTTTAGGTATATAATATAGTGTAACACATGTAGAGTATATTTGTGTCCTGTGTCAGGCTCAATGTTTTAAATATAGCTTAAACCGTTCATTGCCAAGTGTGTCAGAGAAAGTCACACACCAATGCAGTGGTGTTCCGTGGCTCTACATTTTAGTCTGTATCTGTGCTGTGCTATAGTTTTGATTAAATGAACTGGTTGCTCGGGCATAATGGAATAATGCATGCACCTTTCATTAAGGGGTATATGGGCTACCATTGCTTGCATTTCCTTCTGAAAATGATAATGGCTGGTTTTTCCCAGCTTTATTAGTTTGTGATTCACTGACCCTGAAAAGTATACTGTAAGAAAATGACACGAAATATGATTTTTTATGTCATATTCCTTTTCTCAAAGCATAGGGTTGAAAAGTTCAATAATAGATGATTGTTTCCGTTGTTGCATAAAGTTCAGAATGTGTTTAATTTAAAGTTACAAAATATTACAGGATATGGTATATCTTACAGAATTAGTCTTTAAGATGCTTGATGATTACAAAATATAGTATATCTTACAGCAGAAATCTATAAGATGCTTAAGAAACGTGTCTTTAGTTAGTAAGTAAAAATAGTCCTAACAGGTGTTTCTATTCAATGTGAGTGTGGGCGTGTCTGTGTGATGCTGTGCGTGTGTGTGTGTGTGTGTCTGTGAATCTGTAGTGTGAATGAGTGTGTGTGTGTGTAAGTGAGTGTGTGAAAGTGTCTTGAAGGATCATCCCTCATCCTTTTATCCATGCTTTTACTTTAAAATAGCCTATGTGATGTTTACCTTAAAAGTCTTTCTGATTAGGATAAGGGAGTGCCATACTCTTAGTAGCTGAGTCATGTGTTCTCCTTCTATCCCATTTTGGGCATCATAGTCTTCTTTGAGCATTCCCAACAACTGTTTCAACTATACTTAGGTCTGCCTGTCAGGGTTACTGATCGATTACCAATTGTAAACTAAAAATCAGCAGCACCAGTCAAAACTGGATCTCTAAACTTGGATAGATTAAAATATAGAAAATCAATCATCATTTAAGGTTCACACATACATATTTCAATATATCTGGTTTTAACATATACTGTAAATGAGTAGCAGACAAATTGAAGTATTCCTTATCTCTGGGAGTTATATGAGAGTGTTGAACTGTTACCATCAGCACCACAGCCAGGGAACTTGCATCCTGAAAAGTAGAGTTTAACAACAGCAGCTCCCATAATTGTCTCACGACAGGTTATGTGTTTAGATGAAGCATTGGGATCTTGAAGAATGCTGAACTAAGATTTACTTGCTTTTGGGGATATTACATCTGAATACAGCATTATGCAGGATACATTTATATCACAGATAAAAGCATGCATATAGAAAACTAGCATAGACTAGACTTGCACTAGTCTATGCACTACAGCGCCATCTAGTGCTTAAAAGAAAATATTACATTAGCATAAGTGTCGTGGCCACAGTGGCAGCGCTTCACGCCACTCGGCCTCCTCTCCAGTCAAGCTGCAGCTTAAAGCTGCGTAAATTCAAATGTTTAGTGTCTCGTCAATTTGAGAGGAGATGCTGAGCATTTCCCTCTCTCCCGACATAGACTAAATATACTCACCTCAGGGCTGCTTGTCATCATCTTCACAGGATTGATCTGCAATCCGATTCCCTGTAAACCACTCTGCTGCAGTTACTGGAGCCAGACTGATTATCCACATTGCAGTCACCTCTGTTGAAGTTGCAGACCTCTCCTTGCTTCCAGCCACATCCATTACTGGACAAGCTCTATCCAACAGGACTGGGACACTCAAATGTGCAGACCAGCTAACCGCAAGTATCTACTGGTTATTGCTGACTTCTACGCAGTGGATAAATATAAATCTGTTACATGCGTCTGCATGAAGTAATGGGGAGACGCATGTTATCCTGGATTGTACTATATAAAGCATAGGATTGTTACCTTGCACCTGTGTGACTCAATACAGGACCCTATAATTAGACATGTGCGATTCGTTTCGTTCCGAATCGAAATTCAGACGAATTTTCGGAAATTCGGACATTCGGATGTATCCGAATTCTGAATTACAGATATAACTAATGCAAACGAATCCGGTAGCGGTAGTTCGTTCGAACGTTCATTTCGTTTTCGTTTCTTATTCGTTTCGTTCGTTGAAGAAAAACATTTCTCCCCTCAAAAGTCACTTTGCTGCAAACGAACGAATGAACAAAATGAATAAGAAACGAAAACGAAACGAACGTTCGAACGAACTACGGCTACCGAATTTCGTCCGAATCCGAATTCCGAATCCGAATTGACTTTCACACCCGAATCCCGAAAAACGAAATAACACAAATCCGAATTTAAAACGAAACAAAACTAAACGCATTTTTTGGCAGTGCACATGTCTACCTATAATACAGTGATTTCTCCCTGTGCTGCATTTGGAGACTGATGTGACTGATCCCTGCTATCGTATGCATTTGTACAGAAAATCATGTTAATGGATTGCATCTATATTGAATACTAACAACACTGTTTGGTGCATATATATATATATATATATATATGAAGTAATATATATTGTCCAAAACCAATCTGTGGTATGTGTTCATATTCTGTGGTCTACTTCATTCCAGCCCAGGTGGGCTCTGTCAGTGATTACGTGATTCCCCTGCAAGCAACTCTGAGTTACACGTACCTTTGAGTTACCACTCCGTAGTTGAGATCCTAAAGATCACTACCCTTAGAACTATTTAATTCTGCCTACAGCGTTACAATAAGCTGTTGTATTTCCAACAGTAAACTGGCTGTTTTTTGATTTTCCAATGGAAATGGCATGCTTATTTTACAATGTTTTGGTGAAGAATCTTTTGGGTTTTTTGGTCTACATCACTATAACCTGACTAGTTATCATGTCCAGATTCCCCCCAAGCCTTACTTAATAGAGACCATGGTGTTGCTCAGATGAGGGATAAGAAGAATAAAAACTGTAAGTTGGAGAAATGGCTCCAGGTTTTGGGTTGTATTGGTGCTACAGTTCTTAAGCTCTAGATATGTATATGCAAGTCATAAAAAGCATATACCTTCTGTTTTAAGGAAGCACTGTACTTCAAATTATATTATTGAAGGTTTCTTAGTTCATTTTGGCAGACACCAATGTATCCTTACTTAGTGATTATACTGTTTTGATTTCACTGTGTGTTCCACCACCATCCTTTCTAGTTGTCTAGGCAGAATAAAATTTTAGAATTCCTCTTTCACCTAAAGCTTGAAACAGGTCTGACATAGTATTAATTAAACAGATATATCTCTCTCCATATTTACTGATATCATGCATGCTTCATTCATTATTATAATGGCAAGCTCAATACCCCTAAGTAACTCCCCAAGAATGGTACGTACAGACGCATTTTCCAATAATATATTTCACTGATGGATATTATAATCATAAATTAATTTCCTTAGTAAATAAGAATTCTCAGCTGTTTTTCCAAAATTGTTAAAGATATTTTTTTTGTTTCACGAAGGACTGAGAAATTACTGCAACTGTATTCACATCCATTAATTTATTATATTATCTGCTGACATCGTTGATTGGAAATAACACAGCAATTACATTTATATAATATAAATTTGGATGTTTACAAGGATCTTTTCAATAAGCATAGAAATTTAATAAGTTGTCATTTTAATAATTAAAAATATTTACCATATTCTGATAGTTTTACTAAAAGTTTAGTACCAAACAAATGTTTTACTTTTTAGGCTTGAGTTAGCTGATTCTCTACATTGTCATCTGGGTATAAAAGGAAACCTGTAAATATGCTGTCATCATCATTGCTAACATAAAGGCCATTCCAGTCTCTAGCAACCTCTATCCACACCTGATCTCCAGCATTCAGTTTCAAAACTAACATGGCTGAGGCCTGGTCAATCTCTTGTCCATATAGTGTTTCACGACATTTGAATATCTTTTTATTTTGGGCAACAATACTTATCCGAGCTGGGCGCCCTCTGACTGTCACATGAAATGCAAACACGTAGGTTCCTGAAATAGTGCAGTTAAACTTTCCTGTTGTAGGATTATATTCGTCTTGCTCATTGTATATTATTCGGTCAAATTTGACAGGTGCATTGGGAGCGGGAAAAGGCTTTGACAGGCCCACAGTAAAGGCAGATTTTATGGGTTTGGGATTATCACCTTTGGAGCCTTTTAATCCTCTAGAACCTTTTTTTCCAGCAGCTCCACGAACTCCTTTTATGCCAAAATTGCCTTTTGGACCTATAGGACCTATTAAACCTGGAGCCCCCATCTCACCTTTGTCCCCTTTCAGTCCAGGTTCTCCTTTCTCTCCTCGCCCTCCTTCTAAACCTGACATACCATTCAATCCAGCATCTCCTTTAATACCTTTGTCCCCTTTCCCTCCTTTCTCTCCAATTTCTCCAATTTCCCCCTTTTCTCCCATGTCTCCAATGTTTCCTTTGTCTCCTAAATCACCTTTTTCACCCTTGTCCCCTTTCTCACCATCCACCCCTATCAAACCTTGGTCCCCCTTTTCCCCTCTGTCTCCCTTTGTGCCATTTTCACATATATCTCCTTTATTTCCTTTTTGTCCTTTAATGCCAGCAAGTCCAACATTTCCTTTTTCTCCTTTTGGCCCCATTTCACCTGCAAGAATGAAAACACACATTCAACATCAGATGTTATGTGATAAATTGTTATATTTTATTTAATATAATCAAAATTAGTTTTTCTATTAAATTTTACATTCTATTGTCATTATATATTATTTACCATATGCAAAATATCCTTGCCTATAAACATCCAAAACCAAAGAGAAAACAATGGACTAAGGTGTACATTGCATAAAAGCAGGGGGTAAGAAGTACACTTACAAGAAGAGGGTAAGTAGTGTGCATCTTAAAAGTAGAGAGTGAGTAGTACACAGTTTAAGTAGATGGTAAGTAGCGCACAGCTTACACGTAGATGGTAAGTAGTGCACAACTTACAAGTAGATGGTAAGAAGTTTATAGCTTAGAAGTAGCACAACTCTTAGATGTGGAGGTAAGGCCCAGTTCACACCTGGGCGTTTTGTAGCGCGTTCGAACGCTCTGCAAAACGCTCAAACACCGGAATCCCATTATTTCCTATGGGTATGGTTCACACCTGGGCGTATTACAGGCCGTATGAACGCACTACAAAACGTCCTACACCCAAAGAAATAGAGGAGCTTCTTTGGGGCGTTTTTGTCGCGCGTTTCCATTGGGATACAGCCAGGTAGCCCTCGGAAACCTATTTTGCTTTATTAGACTACTGTTTTAGCCATTCTGTGATTGCTTTATATCCAGCATATCCTATCTACCTACTTGGTGGTTACTTTGCTTAGTTTTGATTGATACTCCTAGGATTGTCTTGCTGCTTTTCCCCACATCCTGATGATTGCTATTGTCAATGTATTTATTACCGGGTGTAATTTTTCATTTATTTGTTCATTCTCATAAAAACATTTCACATTCATTAATCTGTCTCAATGCAATCTCAGTATAGTTCACAAACAATTTTAGAAAGTATTTCTGTAGAGGAGGGTAATTAGTGTGCTAGAAGCAAAGGGTAAGTAGCACATTTTTTTAGCACCAAAGGGTATACAAATGACTACTAATAAGCAGCAGATAAATAGAACACTGCTTAGAAGAGAGAAAGTAGTGCATTGCTGATGAGTGAAGAATGAGTCATGCACTATGTAGAAGCAGATCAAACACTAATTCTGATGACTGAAAGATACATTTATGGCTTATATGTTGTATAAAATGGTCAATGCAAATGTACTATATATGATGTACATACTTTTCTTGCAATTTGGTACATCTATACAATATATTTGGTACACATATTTTTGTAAATATGATAATTATTATTTTTTTACAGTACATGACAAGCATATTATCCTAAATAAGGGACAGTGGACAGTTGTGGACAGTGCAGTTAGTGTGTACTGTCTTGTTAAATAGGCTTGAATAAATGCTTCCCTAATATTGCATGCATGTCCAATTATCTGTTCTCAGATATATTTAAGCTGAACTTACTTTGCATTTAATGTAAATGTACCCATGTGTAAAGACCTTCGTTAATATATTTTTAGCTCCACTATGAGCACTCTCTCCAATCTAACCATTTTAAAAGTTTATATTCATTCATAAATAATTCACACTAAAACAAAATACCTTTAATATAAATTATTTAGCACAGTCTAGATGCATGTAATAGGAAAATGAATCTGAAAACTGGGTTCGGACCATATGTAAAATGTTAGCAATAAACCATTGTGTTATAGGTAAAAAAAAAGGTTCTGTCAGGTGACACAGAACAGTGTAATCACTAGCAATGATGAATAGTGATGTTGTAAATAAATGAATAATTAGAAACATTTTTGTACGTGTTAAATAAAAAGCACAAAGAACATCAGTGTGCCATTAACCCATACAGCCCGTGAGAAATGACCTATCATCAGTATGCCTCTCTAAAACTGGCCACACCTCTACATATGTGGCCATTTGACTTTCTATAATTTTAGCTATACCAATCCCATCTAGGAAATGTTAAGTGCTCAATTTGTCTTTAAAAATCTGTGATTGATCCTTGAGCCCAACCCAGATAATCAAAGCAAGATCAGGCACAGCTGAAAATGATAATTTGGCCAGCATCTAGCTGATTGCAAAAACATGATCAAACAAGAACAAAGAACTAGAATAATCTGTGTGATTGATTCTCATCCAATTTTGACTGGAATAACACAATTAGATCTAAGCATAATACAGGTGTATGGTAGCTTTATTTCCTTTCCTAAAAATGCTCAATTAAAATTCTTGGCTCAATCAATTAAAAATAAATCTTTAGTAGTATACCAAATCCGTATGTATGCCATATTAAGCTCTGATAGATCTGTATTGCAACATCTCTTTAGCTTTTGCAATTGAAACTCAAAGTAAAACATAACATACCATTGTATATAAGTTATGAGATGTATTCTTTCCAACAAATTTATTTATCAAATAATATCATCAATTCACCATAACTTTCCCAAATTAGCATGTTACGCTTACTTAGTGGAGCGCACACATTATTAAGCGAGGCCTGTTCCTCCAGTGATGAGTGGACATATTCTGTAAGACTACAGTAATTAAAATGTATTTAAACTGCACAAAATCTAGCAGCAGACTCTAGCAGCATCTGTGTTCCTATAATTGCTATACAGTTATCGAGAACACATACTGCATTCTTTGCCAGAGGGAACAAGTGTAACAATCTGTTAAAGGCCTTCCCCTGGCATCAAACAGGTTAAATCAATTATTTAAACAGTGTTTCCTAATCAGAACCACATGTTTGCTCTCCAGTCACACAGATGACTTCCAATGTATGCCTGTCTGCTACCTGCAGTATGTATGTACCCGACCGATCTCTGGAGGCATTGCTTCTCCTTCAGCAGAATCAATTTGAACAGAAGTCACCGGAGCAGAGTTACATTACAAAAGAGCCAGAATGGGAGACAGACAAACATAATTGTACAACATTCATTATCATTACCGGCTTCTCCTGGCTTTCCTGGGAATCCGGGAATCCCATTTGCTCCTTGGTCACCGTGCTCACCTTTCTCACCTACATATAAACATCTGCATTAACATTATCCACAGTAAGGACCTCAAGTCCCAAAAGGACTGCAGGCGGGTGAAAATGTAATTATAGCACTCCTAAAAGTGTAGTTACATTAAAGAAATCATTACCAAAGCAAGAAAATAAGAAAAGGACAGCAAGGTGACATTAACAGAATGTAATTCTTCTTCAGTGCAGCCCCTTGCTTTCACAGTGAAATGAGAGGTTCATAAGTCTCATTGATCCCTATAGAATAATATTGGAGATATATATGGTTACATATGTCTTGAGGGGAATGGCTCACACAGCAAAAACTCAGCACAATGAATTGCATTTTCCTTTAGACTTACTTGGACACATTTTCCCAATAGAAACGAAATAGAGAACCCTTTTTAAATAGTATATATAAGATATACACCATCCAGAAATTAGACTTATTTTGAGTGGGTTATTTTGGGCATAGACAAGTATTTAGCATACTTCTATTATATTTGGTACTAATATGACTGTATTTCATTTAATGGCAATTATGGATCAGTGTCTAGGAAAGCACCAAGCTTTAACATTTACAAACTTTGATAACATTTTCCTTTTTTGTTTGCCTTCTCTAAATATTTGTGGGGTGTGCTAAGAGAAGTCAGAAGTCTCTTTACAGTTCCGATGACATGGAATCATTTATTTTTTCACTTATTTGCTGATGTGTACAGCTAAAAGTTGTCCTATATAAAAATAAAAGGACACACGATGCCTACAATAGCGCATTCTAGCAGTACTTCTTATTAAAATAATCACATGATACAAGGGACAGCGCTTATACAAAAAGATGCCATTGTTTAGTTGTGCTTATGACAGCTTGATGTCTAAATACAGCCCTGGGAAATTACAGCATGTAGTTTAGATCTAGCTGACCACCAGTCACTGCTTATCACTTGTTGCCTTGTGTTCAAGTTCTTCATCTATCTTCATTATAGAAATCCCACAATATATAAAACCCATTTTTGTTCTCGCTCATTCATAACCTATTCTTCCTCATGTACCAGTAGGCATATACCACATCACCTTAGTCTTCTTGCCCACTTTAAAAATATAGTTGAATTGTTGATAGACTGGAAAAGTGATCAAATTAATGTTCGAAAGGTAGGCAATAACAAGTGAAGTGACTACAGACATATAT